GGGCAAAGGTTGCGCCTCGCAGGCGGACAGGAGCCGAGCGGGTCGAGCGATTGGGCGACCAAGATTTTCCCTGCCAAATCGCATCTGTGGCGTGAAGCGTTTGAAGGAGGTGGGCTGTAGAAAGGCTACAAATCTTCGCTAATCCTAACGGAGCTGTTCTACGAAAGGAAACACCGACACTTTGCGCTTAAAAATTTCAGACGACTCAATTTACTCAACTTTAGCAGCATCCGAGGAATACCGAGTCGACAAAACCCGTGCAATGCTTTCAGCCATCATGCTGTGACAACAAACGCCTACTCAAGCGGTTATTCTTTAGCAAAGTCCTAATGGGTACTGCTGTGCATGGAGGACAGAAACGACAATACAGGTGCATTCTGAAAGTTTCCATTTGAAATCCATAAATAATCGCGAACATCTGGGAGGAAACATTTCACGATCGATCGGCCTGGAGAAGAACATTGAAGACTGTAGCGCCACTCTACGGAGCTAAACGCCTAGCGTTTGCTAGATGCAAAAAAGTGGCTCGAAAATCCCACGCACCTCCGATCCACAACCTCCCACACCGTGTTCTCCATCTCAGCGGGCATGCTGCTTCCGGATCGACCTCTTCGCAAATCCAGCAGCATTGTGCACGTTATATAGTCTGGAAGTAGCACGGCCTTCACTTGAGAACGAAAATGAAGGTGTAAATGGCGACAGTCCTAATGACACTGATGAATAAATCCTCACTGTTCGGCTACTAGACTCATTTGCCCCGTTTCGCCTTGATGCCTGCTCTCGAGCCCCACTGACAGCCCCACAGTGATTAGTATTCTAGGCAGATGAATATTACCAGCAAATACAGCGGACAGTGGAATGACCATTTCTGGCTTATTACCCGTCATCATCCAGCCATATCCAAGCCCCCTGTGGTACACCATCCGAGGCTTGAACTTGTCAAACGATAAACAATTTGAGCTACGTGCTGCGAGCTACGTCTTGACTTGGAATCTTAACATTGTCAATTCCCCTCCAGTGGCCTCCAGAGAATAATAAAACTTTGATGGCAAGGCAGATTCCTATACGCCAAATTTCCGAGACGAACCGGAATCCAAAGAACCCACGGCACACTTACGCAAACTGCACTACGATAGAGCGACCAGGCGGTGTGGACAATCGCCTACCCAAGCAGCTATCCCATGGCAAAGTTGCAACGGGTGCTCGTCTGCACGGGGGACAGAAATGACGGCAGAAGTACATTCCGAAAATTTCCATCTAAAATCTAAAAATAATTGCGGAGACTTAGGAGAACCTCACCTAAGATCGACTAGCAGGAAGAAGAAGATTGCAGCATGGAGTAGCAATCTACGAATCTAACCGGCCCGTTATCAAGTTCATCTCGATTGGGACTTGGAGAAATGCTCTCACGTCTTTTTACGATGTGATAGAGTTCGTCGGCCGCTGGAACCCCTACGGCCGCCCGTTCCGGGTTGTCTCTCGCGGTGAGAAGACCTTTCGCATCATTCGTGGAACACTAGAGGAGGTCGTGAGCGTGGACCGCCTCAAAGCCGCTGTCCCGGACATTCTTTCGGACGAGCTCTGTGGTCCCATTTCCCCTGCTCCCCGATCCTCTATCCTTCCACGCCGTCTGTTTCCCCTTCCGCCATTTCCACTGCCATTGATGGTTACTCCTCCCTCATCCTTCTCCAACATTCCTACCACAACGCACTCTTGCCCTGCATCTCCGGCATACATTACTCCTTGTGGACGTCACGTTCACTTCCCCGATCGACTGATCTCTCACGATTTTTAGACTGGTATATTTCCTTCGGCCTCTTTTATTTTTTTGCGCCGCCTTCAGTCTAGCTAAGGGTATTGCTGTGAGGTCCCGGACCATTCGTGACCTTTAAAATTCTCGCTTCCAATTTCCTTGACTGTCCCTGAATGCACTGACAAAACCGCTAAGAATTTTTGCCTGTCTACATCAAGACTTAAGGTTGTAACTATTTTCGTAATATCTTATATATCTTTGAATTATTTTTGTTTTTTGGTCATTGTTATAACTGACTGTTAGTTACGGGCTAAACTTACATCGTGTCAGAGTGTTCCAACCACAAGACTATTTACCCGGTCACTTTCACTTCAGTGGCCTCCAGAGAAAACTGAAGCTGGAGTGGCAAGCTAGATTCCTATGCGTGAAGATCTTGAAACTAACCGGGATCCAAAGAAGCTGGGCCACGCTTAGGCGAACTGCAGTACGATAGAGTGACCACATGGTGTCGACAAATGCGTATCCAAGTTGCTATTCTATGGCGAAGTCGCAACGGGTGCTCCTCTACCTGAAGGACAGAAAGGAAGATAAAGGGTATTCGGAAGGTTTCCGTCCACAATCTACAAATGAGCGCCGAGATTTTGAAGGACCTCATCCAGGATCTACTGGTCTGGAGAAGGACATTGCCGAACGCAGCAGCAATGTACGAAGCTAGTCGGACAGCCGTTGCTAGATGCAAAAAAGTGACTCAAAAGTATTGAGCGCCTCCGACACGCAACTCTCTCGTCATGTTTTCGCACTTCAACGGGTATTCTGCGCATAAATCAGACCAGTCGGACATCCACGGACTGAATGCAATGAAGAGCCGGCAACTCGAGCGTCTTCCTCTGCAGGCCCTGTTATAGTCACACCTGCTGCGATTGTTGGCTTAAAAGGAGACCGCTAATTATCGCGGCGGTCAATACGATCGTGATGACACCGAACACAGCGAAATAGGGGGTTCATTTCACACCTCCAGTCGGCATTGCTAAACTGTACCTCAAGGCCCATATACATGCAACCAAACTCATCGCCAAAAACTAGAATTTGCTTGCTCTATCTTAACTTTTCGAAAATTCTCATTGACAATTTAAGAAGTTCAGTGGACGAACATAGGTTTGTTTTCGATAAATTCTCGTCAAGCCTGTACATTTATATCGCAATTAACTAAGCAAACTATGTGGGTTGGTAGAAAAATGGTGTGGCTGCCAGGGGAGGTAGGAGGGGAGAGGGAATCGGGGTCAAAAATCTGATCAGCGTTAGGGGGGACTGGTAGCCGAGAGAGGTGATAAGCAGCGGGCTGTTGGATAAGCGGATTTCGGTCACGGTAGCTGCGGTACCGTAACGACGTTCTTTTGGGCGCTCAGAACCAGTCGGTTCAGCCTGATGGCGGCCGCTTCTGTCGTAGCCAACAGACGCTGTCCAAGGAATTTTGAATAGCTAGAAGGCACCTTGTAGATCACTCGGAAGACCCCTCTGGCATGCACGTGATGTTCGGAGTCTACCAGGTGCGCTAGAATGCAACTGTTTACACCGTTTATTTGGCCCTTCCCTAACCATACTGGAATGTGTTTTCTTACTCTTTTTGCCAAACGCCGGCTCGTGCGACGAATGTGTTTTGCCCCACGGAAGCAAGTGAATGAATAGATGCACATGAGATCAGATTTTTGACACGGATTTCGTCCCCCCTACTCCCCTGAAAACCGTACTATTTTTTCTATCAACCAGCATAGTTTATTTAGTTAATTACCATAAAAATGTAAAGGCCTGACGAGAATTTATCGAAAACAAACGTATGCTCTATCTTATTAAAAGGAGGCGACAGTCGCTTCATTGGAGAAAAACCTGACCAGTTTGACGCAAATGGAAACTTGTGAAGAAGAATTTAGAGTTGTCGGTAAGGTTCTGCGAAGGGGAAATCACCCGTCCGATACACAAGTGTCCGCTGTCAGTGCAGAATCCGAGGACACTTTGAGGTCCCACTGATGACGGACATCCTACACAGTTGCCTCATAATTACTTACTTGTAATTGCTGTGATCATGCCTGATCTAGCCGGCCTCAATGATGTTACGGATGGTTCCTATCTACGCGTGACGATTGACGGCAGTGGATATGGAGAGCTCCACCTTCTCTCTTCTCCAGCGACGGAGACCAAAAATCAAAGGTCCAAGAACCACTTTTAAGTCTTGATGAACGGTGTCGAGCCGTTGAATCTTGAGTTGCCCACCTCTTCGGCGCCTCCAGGTGGG